GTCAATTTCATATTTATAAATATATATTGGTAATTCATTATTTCAAAAGTTCGTATGTGGTTATTACTTTTTTTTTAATGGCACAATTGATCAAATATAGTTACTTAAATGTATTTATGAATAAAATTAATATAATTAAATTGTATATAATTGTAAAAATATTAAATTTATTCAACAAAATGGTGGATAACGATAACGACAAATATTAATAAAATATTTATTTAATGGAAAATATTTTTATGACTAAGAAACTAATAAGAATATTTGAAAGCGTTCAACCTTTATTTCAGTTTACCAAATCGAGTTACAAAAGTTGGCAACCCTAATTATTGGAGAGCACACGGACAAAGTGGAACTTCCCGTGGACTATAATTAGAGTCGATTAAAGGTCCATAACACAATATAGACAGTTCGTATTCGCTACTGTAATATTAGAACTCCAACAATTTACACGGAACTATCCGGCCCGGGCTCAATAATTGTAGTAATGGTTTTAGTTTGGCAGTTTTCAGGTTTTTACACTTTATTATTTTAATAGAATAATTAAAACAAATTTAAATTTATAAAAAACGTGTCTATATATGTAATTAGTCTATTATTGTATTAATACCATCTACAATAATCTACATAGATGGTCAGTGCTAATGAGTGGGAATATACTGTTTTGTGAGTATATACAGTATGATAATTTTCTCGTATGTACAGTATGATATTTAAAATCACAGTTTTTTTACATAATTTAGAAGTGTAAGATGTAGAAGAAAAATATACTAATAATAACATTTTATTATATCGTGGTAGTATTATATTCCTGTTGGTATTTACAGAAAAGTCTTTTGCCTTTAAAACAAAAATTACGTTGAATATACATTAAAGTATACAAATTTTTACTATTTTTTTATTTGTATTTCTTCTATGTGCATAATAAACATTTTATTATCTTTATTTTTTTAATTATCTTGCAGAATGGAAAATAAATAATGTACAGTTATATATCTATAATAAAATACGCATGTTACATTCTTTATAATCTTTCTGTGGTTTATGATTCGTCAATATAAGATATTATATTTACAAATTTATATTTACAACTTGGAATAGCCATTAAACTGAGAGCCCACCTGATGCAAAGTGGTATCTACCGTTGCTATAGACATGAAGGGCGTGTACATTACGGAATAGACAAACTACTTCGTCCATAACTTTTAGAACGAGGGGGAGGATATTGTTAATAATGAAGAAATTGATAATAGTTGCCCAATTACTAGCAATGTAATATTTCATATTGACCTCCACATGGTACCGCTAAAAATAATCGTTTTTAATTCTAGGTTAGGCTAAATTTGTCACAATGGGCTAACCTGATTTAACCCTCATCATCATATTATCGGTGCCCCGCAAGTACATCACGCAGTGGTACATCCACCAAAATTCCATTATCATCCATTAAAAAAACTGTCTGAACGTATAATTGTATTCAGTGTACCATCATAACTGATGATTTATATTTTTTGTTCTGGCATCCAAACATACATGTATGTTAGTGATAAATTCAGAGTGTCAACCAATACATTCCTAACACCAGCACCATACCAGGTATCAATCAATTTTTTGCAAAGGAAATGTATTCGCATCCATCATCCTATGCTGGTGTCATGTGTGCTCGTTATTACGTCTATATTGCATAAGAGGAAAGCGATTCATCTTCTCATATCTTAGATTCTCAAAATACCGAGATAGAATTCGTACAAAATAGTGAAAACATTGTTCAAATTCAAATTCAAATTCAAAATATCTTTATATGATACGTCAAATATGAACTGACAAGAAACTCATCTCGAATTAATATTATATATATTTACCTATCTACATCAGCCACAAAAAAATTGTTTTACAAACTGTGTTTCTGTTTGAAGGGCGAGATATTGCTTGCAATAATAGGGTATATGAAAGCATGAGTTATATGATGAGGTGTAACATATACGTGACGTAACACATATTTAATTGTAAGAGTAATGATTAAAATGTATTATTATAATCGCCAGCTCGTATCACTTATACCGAATTGGTGGGCGTCCGTCGTAATCTATTTGACACCGTTGTTTTTCCATACAATAAATTTTATTGGGAACATGTGATCATGGTGCGCACAGTTTAGATAAGGTTTAATGAATCCTTTTCGTTGTTCGTTACCCACGCCCGCCTCTGATTTGATACAGTGTAACACTGAATTGATATTGCAGTAATTGGACGCACTTGGGAACAACATCCAGTTAATTAAGTGTAAACAAAACAATATTATGCTTTGTTGTGTATTTTATGAAATTTCACTTACGTGGAGATTATATTAGATTAAAAAGAACTAACTTCATTTAAATATACATTAAAGTCTTTTAATAAAAAATGTCTTTCATTATAATATTCTCATTAGAATAGTATAGATTAATTCAAAACCGTTAGAACAAAACCTCTTTAATAAAGTCTGCGCTCAATTCGTATGTCATCTTCTTCAGATGACTGAAACAAGAAATTCGTATTTAAATCTTAATAACTATGAAATAAATGTCATATTATAATATTGTTTCTCTTCTAGTTGTCTAATCCTGTTTGAGACCACTTAGTTTAGTATTCGTGCACATATTAGATAAGAAATTTACATACGAAAATTTGTCTTCAACCTAACCACCCTTTCTGCATCAATCACATTGTGACAAAGTAGGTCGATCTATCAAACACGTTAGCATGACGTTAACCTAATGACCTCTGAAAAGTGTTCAGATCTGTTCGTTATTTTTCATAGATCACGAGTTTTTGTCTAATCATTTCGTCTAATCGACTGCACATGACTATGTGACTTATTATCAACAAAAGAGAGATGATGTTGATAGTAGATGATAGGTTTTTACTCCTTTGCTACCAAATCTGACTGCTTTATCTTTACATATAGATTTATACATCCGAATACATCATTATATATTGAACAAGATACGTAGCGTAATAATTGGTTTCCCTAATTTTTTATTTTTTATAAAAATCGAAAACTAAGTGTTTTGTAGTTGTGATAGTTAAGTGGTTATTTTTAGAATGTCATCAGCCCCCAAGGAAATATTACATTAAATTTTCGAACGAATCTAGTCCTTTGTATATTTCACAAAATTCTAAATTGGTTAGTACAATTTATAATTAGACCCTTTCGGATCGTTGTAAATTGTTTAAAAAGCCTAGTATGGAAATCAGGGTAGCCTGTTTTATAGTAGAGTTAGTATACGAGTATTTTGATTTCTAAATGTTTTGAAGTATTCATTAATATTATAAGCAGGAGGGATAGATTCGAATAAAATTTGGTACACAAATAGATCATATTCAAGATTAACATATGTAATACTTTTAGTGAATGCAAATAATACGACGAGAATAATCTCGTAGCTATAAAGCTAGTATTTAATAAACAGTATAATAATCAAATCCGTCCAGTCATCACATAGTCATTATTTTAACTATAACCACTACATGTAGTATGAAACATTTGAACACTCCAAATATGCAATAGTAGGCTTTCATAAGAGAAAATAAAATGACGTCTACAAGAAGTTTCGCTTATCTCTAACGACTTTTATAAGAAACAAGACCTCTTCATATGAAGCGTACGCCGCAATAAGGCTCGTGTGAAGTACTTGGATACAAACAGATAGTAAGACGGAGTTTGGCTGAATTTCAAACTGGAAAATTTGGCACGTGATAATGGACACGGAGCTCGTTTCAGTCCTGATACTTATTCTAACAGCACTATATATTTATTTATCTCCAACAGTACACAGAGGATATTTATATCTATAAAATAATGTATTTATAATAATGAGTGCTATCATTATTAAGTATTAAAAAATATATATTTTATTATTATTTTATTACTTTTATGATGCCGATGTTAATATATGTATATTCACCATGAAGCTTCAGAGCAAGTTTCCCATAACCTTTAGTGTTTGTTTCATTTTGTTCACAAAAGTAAAAATATAACCTATAGCTTTTCCAAATATTTGTTTTTGACATCTTAGGTCTCTGGAAAGGCAAGTCTTGAGTGGTATGACGGGTGTGACACGATAACATAATGTTCATCTTATTCAGGTATATAGGCGACGGGTACCCCTTACCATAAGGTGGGCCGTCAGCTTATTTGCACTTCCACATTTCCCATTACAAAAAAAAAAAAAGAATACCACACGTACTAATCTCGGGCGCAGGTTAGCTATTGCCAACGGCTGGTGCGACCTACTTGAAATGTCGAATGTCGTAAATAATTACTGTTTTATTATTAAAAGACTTTAAGTAATGTAACAAACAATAACGTGTAAGAATCGAGAATAAACGTAATTATTCATATATATGAATAACTAAATATTAGATATATTTAAATTGTCAATAGATTACGGTCAATTGAACTAAGTAAACATTTATAGTTACTTAGGTTCGCCTTGAGTTTAAGAATAAGGTTTTTTCAGGAATATTTTCTTTCCAAATGTGTATATATGATTATGTATAATAAATTTGATAATTTTATAAGAGTGAACAATTGAAAAACAAGGAACTTCTATGCTATATCGGAAACTACGACTACGATAATCGTTGTCGTAATGATTTGAGATTAATAAGTCAACGCAGAATTGTATTGAATATATTACGGTCTAAATATAGGCAATATCTTTTTGCCTAAATTGATCAGTTTCACAAAAATATCGCGTCCGATTAGGAGCTAGAAACGTTTTTTCTATTGATTGTTAGTTCTTCGAGATTGATTGGTATTGCAAAATCATAAAAAAATAACAAGAAATAATGTATTTTTATTAATATCAAAAATAACATGTTATTTATACTTTTCTGTATATGTGTGCATAAGTTAGCAAAGAACCATTCATTTCAATTAGAGAAGAATTTCATCCGAAGAGTATTAAAACGTAATTTCTCCACATTTTACTGAATGTACATTTGCTTCGTTACAGGTAACAACTTTGGCGTTGCTCCAAAAGTCACAAAGTCACCTCCCACCTTTAATAAGTAAGTAACTTTATTATTTCAACGAATACTAGATATTACTTTGGAGGTGCAAGTTGAGTATATTCTAGAAAAACTATGAAAAGAATGGTTTCAAAGAAGTTTGTAATTTATTATACTGTTTATTTTACTTAACGTCAATTTATATTTTGCAATTCAGTATATACTCGTCCTTGGGTTCATAAGAAATCTCAGATGTATAAAATTATTATCAATCTTAAATTTCTCACTTAGTTTTTATGTTGCATGTCGATTATGGAAAATATGCTCATTTATATTCAGATAACGTTCTAGATATTTCTACTCCATAACCACATACCCAAAATGTATATATAGTTCGGCTGCAGTACGGTATAAGTAAGAGTTCCAATTGATAAAAATTTACATTGATTTACAAAAATAACCAATTGTAACAAAACATATGAAATTATCATTGCAGTACATTCTATCCATTAAAAATAGATATCATAGAAATTAATTCCATTGAAATGAAGATATATATAAAAATACTGTCGAATTGACAACTGTTTTTGGCGAAAAAATCACGTAATACACGTAATATGATCTATGAAATTGCAAAAACACATAGTCTTGGTGGGAAGTTTGTTTTCATAAATTAGTTTGAATTGAGTGCTGTTTTTATAGTTTTTGGTTTTAAATATTTTTTTTTTCTAATCAGCTGGAATGATATTTATATTCAATGTTGTGTTATTTAAAAAGGTAAGAGGAAACAACAAATTGAACAGCAGCGAGCTATTTACTATATGTAATTCATTCATTCATTCATAATTTAAGAGCTACGCTCTTGTCGGTGGAGCTCTTGCTCTATATGTAATATCTTATTTTAATTTTTATTATTATATTATATTATTATTGTAAAAGTAGTTTTCCACGGAAAGCGTATTTTCGTTTGTAGTATGTTGTCTTCCCATTAAATGCCATATAAATATAATACGCGGACCCACTTATTCTAAAGAATCTTATTACAAAGAATACGAATGATAATGATAATACTTAGGTATAAACAACATATTGTGGCGAAAACAACAATAGAAGATATTTACGCAAATAAATAGGCAATTTTATTCACTTCTTATGGCTGGATTACTTAGGGTTGGACCCCACTTAGCACACTCGCAAGTAGTACTATCGTGTTCATAATAGGAACGCCTTTTGTATGTAATATTACCTGCACTTCATATGTTTTCTCTATAGATGTGTTCAATATGTATTCATTCTGTCTTTTATTTCTTAGATCCGTAATTAGTTGTCGGACAAAATACTATTTATTATATCATTATAAACATACATTTATTTTTTGTACAGCTTTACTAGCTATAACGTACGGTGCTGCCCGTGTTAATCTGGCTAAAAGTATCTGGTCTATTGTCTAACTGTATGTCAAATTTCAATCGAATCGTCTGGTACTAGTAGTTTTTGCGTGAAAGAGGAACACACATCAACCCGAATAATTGTAATAATATGATAAAGTGATATATGTATGTTATATCAAGATGTAGTACTGATAGCCTACCTATCGTGCTGATTTCTAAACATCATAGGATTGTTTAAAAGAATAAGTAAATTTCTTCTAAGACTAACGTAGATGAACATTGCGGTGAACACAATTACCACTTATAATATGTTATATTTTATGATTATTTAATGTTTTTGCAATATAGATACATTTTTCTTTAGCCTAACGTGTGGCATTTTATTATATATACCTAGATAAATGTTGCTGACTTGTTGTTTTATTTTAATTACATATTATGACATTTATAATGTCACTCCTGAGACTCAGAAAATGTGATACTTAAAGATCTTTTATGAAAAACACAATACATGTTTTGTGGATGTGTTTTTCATGTCAAGCATTATACCTTCAAATGTAACAATAGATTCTAAGCCAGATAAGGGTGTTTATTTTGTAACAAAGTAATAACTCTACACCTACCACCTGTCGTGATCTGAATGATACGAGTTGATGGAGGCTGTTGTTTGGTTATATTTGTGTAATGCGATGTTACATTACACCTAATGATATTATGTTTATGTGGTATATGATTAATTTATGTTATTAAATATTTTCATACAATTCTGAGATATAAAAAACAACGGCTTTAAATAATTAATCTAGTCATTTCAAGTAGCTGCGATAGGTATAACAATATCTCTCTGTAACCTGTTGGAAGACTTTGGTTCTCACAGATAAGTAAGTTCTATACTTGAGTATCTAAGGCTGTATTAGCAGGTTCATATCAAATTAATTTGGGCTTTGTAAGCTAAGTTTCGGTTATATAGTGCAAATTAGACAGTGAAATTACAGAATAAGTAACATGACATCTTAATCCTCTGGAATACGACGCTTGAGTGTTAAGTACTGTTCATGTATATAGGCGACGAATATGGCTTACCACCAGGTGGACCATCAGTTTGTTTACCATTCAAATTACATAAAAAGGAGTGTACAATTGTGTTTAAGAATTGAAATTAGATTCATATATGCATTTTATAACTTAATACAATATAATAAAATGAGTATCATAAGTGAATCCAGAACGTGAGGTGAAACTTTCCCCGCGGCTGCAATCTTGTTTACGTGGTAATCCATGTGACATACGGGGTGTATCGTGCGAGGTCAAATACGCATGACTCTGAAAACACTCTAAAATACTTGGTCGCTAGGAAATTATGAATGTTCGTCTGTAGTTGTCTTTATACTTTAAATCAAAATGGAATAATATTTTGGTATTTATGAATAAATTCGTATAATATGTCTAATATTAAAATAATGGACTGAATCCACTGATATAATGAACATAAAACAAATACAAAAGGGAACTGAATAAAATCATATTATAAAGTTACTAAAATATTTACAAAGAAAACTGTTGATATATTGCAATTGACTATGAGACTCATTGTTGACTGTATCACTACTATTAAATATTAACTAATCAATTTTTTAGTGCTACAGCACTAAAACTTAGCAGCTTATGGTTTGGCATTGTCTGTTAAAATAAATAAAATGAGCCGAACCTACCCTTTACATACGTATAAAAATGTAATATTTTAATACGATAATGAAAATCCATAAGTTAGTTATACAGATCTAAAGAGAATAATATTAGAATTAAAAAATCTTCTAGTATCCAACAAACGTTTTAGCGATTTTAATTATCGACACGTTCCGTCATCAAGAATCAAACTCTCAAACGGAATGTATAAGTTCGATTGGCAAATTAGAAAAGTTATTCAGTACGCCCCTTATTTCAGGTGCCTCTGAGGCACGGAATGAAAAGTATGACCAACTTTCTAGATGAAACGGATGAATGAATCTCGAGATGTAAAGTTTGATAGAACAAAAATGCAAGTTCTTTATGAGGTTTTGAGTGTCTTTTGATGTCACTTGATATTTTTTATTAGTTCGAAATATGAATACACCTACATATGAATATATATATTGTTAAACTTTATATGTACTAATATTATAAAGTGAGAGAGCGGATTTTGTTATGAGGAAAGTAAACTCTAGAAAGTAAATTGCTACTTATTATTTAAAGGTATATTATTCTAATGATGGGCTATAATACTAGACATTAAAATTGTCATTGTCAATTTTCGATGTCATGGTGAACGTGCCACTTAACATGCCCACATTTTTCTGGGTATATTTGAATTCAACATGGCGGTAGGCGCTTGTTCACGGATTTTGTTGGTTTAGTACCGGTTATTATTTTATGGGAGTATCAGTCATAAATATATATTTAAAACACAACATTGGGAGCTAGACTCGAACTCACAACATTTCGGTGTACTTCGATCACTAAGGTCTTAATAAAAAATAAATACGTCAAAATCTGTACCATTATTGAATTTCATCCTATTCGATATCATAATAATATTAATTCCTACATATATCTTCTTCACAATCGAATGATGGAAAAAATACCAGAAAAAAATCTCGTTATTTCTATCAATTCTGAGAACGTTAATATTATCTCTAGATGATTCGAGACAATCTTATACAGTTTAACGCCTTGCCTTATATTCTGTCAGGTTAATCTTTGCACAGTATATAGATAATGTAATAAAATTGTGTAAATTTTGTTTATTTAACTATCAAGAAAGTATACACAATTTTTATTTATATAATAAAACGAGTAAACATTAAAATATATCTGGTTGGATATTCTTGAGTATGCCTATTCTCCACATTATAAACTCGTATATGTAATAAGATATTTACCGCGATAATGTTATTTATGTGTTTCCGATATTTAATATAATAATGGTACAAATAAATAAATAACTTTATAAAATGACATGTAAATTTCATTCTCGAATTCAATTCAATTATTTGGGACCCACACAAAGCAAAGTACATAATCTTAGTAAGAGTTCAGACAAAATTTACTCGATATTTATATAATAAACTCTATGGTTATAATACCTTTGTGTATCCATTATTGTGTCCGGTATGGTAAGTATGAACACATTGGAAGTAAGGCGAAAGTGTGATTTGATGGTGTAAAAACAAGAAAGAAAAACATGGCGTACTGTTACTACCTGCTGAATGGGAGAATAGACCATCCAACAGCCCCGAGTTGCTGTTCCTTATACGCACCACGGCTCTACCTATGTACGACTGCGTATGTGTCGATTACTACCAGTTCGTATATGCTGCCAAGCTCGCTCGCACTTATCAAGCTATCTTGCTGCTGAATGGCTTGGTTTCAGAGCGCCCAGAGGTCGATATTTTCACGATAGCATTAATAAGTTTATTGAGTATTGCTTATTGTTTTTTATATCATTGTGCTATTTGTTATCTGCTAAATACGGTAGTAGCTACTGTAAGTGTGGTGAGCAACTAATCTTAAATAAATAAATAAAATGTGTACCATTGTAAAATTGTAATTTTTTAAAACCCTATATAGACGGGATTGCTCCTGTTATTTCGATGATTGCTACTTTGATATTTCTGCTTATAAATAATGTAC